TAAACAATGTCTTTTGAACTTCCAGGGATGGAGTTAACATTTAACTATAATCTGGATTGCCTGGGGAATGGCAGGACCGAATGCCATTGTGGAGCAGATAACTGCAGTGGATTCCTAGGAGTGCGGCCAAAGGTTAGTTGTGGGACCTTCTGGGAATCGGTCAGCAGGCGGGATGGAATGTTGCACCTGAATCCACAGACAGTTCAGTCTGTGTCCAGGGAAGGTTACTGCGGTGACGATTCCTCCCTATTATGTCTACGTGTAAACTCTTACATGGCTGCAACCAAACACAATGTCTGACTGAAGCAATTTGGATAATGCACTGCTTCTGATTACTGTGTCTTCAGGTTTATTTATTTATTGTGTCAGGGGCAACCAGACCATTGTATTAGTTTTCTAACAGAACAAAACAAACAATCAAACAAAACATGAAGTTTGCAAACTTGGCATTCTATTAAATGTCCTTTGGCCAGTCTCTGGCCCCTCGGAGTGCCTCTGGTGTTACTATAAGAAGGTCCTCCCTTGTGCATGTGGCAGGGCTCAGGTTGCATTGCAGCAGGTGGTCAGTGGTTTGCTCTTCTCCACACTCGCATGTCGTGGATTCCACTTTGTGGCCCCATTTCTTGAGATTGGTTCTGGTTTGCCTACTCTGGAACATGATTAAAGTGTGGTAAATAAATAAATAAAATAAATTTATCTGCGTGAGAAAGAAGCTCAGCATGGAAGCAAAGAAGGAAGTATAAAGAATTTTATTTGCGCTGTGGAAATGTTGTTCTTGTAAATAGTGCAACCATATTATTTTGCTATAAGGAAAAGCCTCCTATGGAAGAGATCACATTGGTCTGTGTGTTTTTGTTCCTTTTCATCACTTTGGGCTACTGGTGCTGGGTCACGCTGCTGCTAACAAGTTACTCTGCTATATATTTATGAGGAGGGTCTTTTGTTCCTAAGCCCACTCGCCCAACACAAACTGCATCCTCCCAGATGTTATTGTATCCCAACTCTCATCAGCTCTAGTCATGGTGTCCAATTATGAGTTGTATGTCAGAGATTTACGCTGCCCAGCGGAAGGAATGCTAGATCAAACAGACACTGATTTGCAAATAAGGACTCTGCAAGCTTTTAGTTACAAAAGAAAACTAAGTTTTACTAATCACACACAGCAAACATATCTTTCTCTAACGAGCAACATTCAGGAAGAGAACTAGTCAAAACCGAAAGCCAAAACACTTCTGCACATGTGCTTATCTTCTCTTGCTTGAAGCTGGCAACTCCCTTCAGTTTCTCACCAGAACAAAGCTTATCTTACTTTCTCAAGTTCACATAATCACAGCCTCAACTCTAAACATTTCTGTACAACATTTTCCATTCACAGTGGCATCCATATTTGCAATACAGAGAAGCATATTTAAAACACATACATCACTCAATAAATCCTGACATTGTAGTCCAGCATCTGGAGGAGAGCCACATACAGTGACATGAAGAATTGAGTTTGACACTGTCACGTACCCTCATCTCCTACTTTCGTTACAGGAAGAGGAATGAGGGGTTGTTATTAGCACTTCTTTTCCTTTGGGGAGCATTTCTAACCTTGCCCTTTACCATTCCCCTCAACCAGACGGCATGTGCAACTGCAAACGAAGAGAAAGCGAAGAATGCAAAATTGAAGCAGAAGAAGCGGAAGATAAAGACCGAGCAGAAGCAGATGCACGAGGACAACTGTTTCCAGTGTGGAGATGGGGGTGAATTGGTCATGTGTGACAAAAAAGACTGTCCCAAAGCGTACCACCTCCTCTGCCTTAACCTGACGCAGCCACCCTTTGGTAGGTGCAAGAGGTCATCATTAACTAGTCATTCTCCACAATGTACTTATTTCATTTATTTATTTATTTATTTAGAACTTTTATATACCGGTCGTCTCGACCTCCGCAGAGGGACTCAGTCCGGTTCACAACAAAAGATTCATAAACAATACACCCCATAATTTACTAAAACATTAAAATACGATCATATAATTACATAAGGCCAAGTCGTCAAAATCAAGTCACAATTCATCGCCATCCATCCGTGTGGTCAGGAGTGATTGACTCACTCATCAAATGCTAAATTCCATAGCCAGGTTTTCATCAGTTTTCTAAAAGTCAGGAGAGAAGGGGGAGATCTAATCTCCAGTGGGAGAGTTTCAGAGCCCAGGGGCCAACACCAAGAAGGCCCTGTCCCTCGTCCCCACCAGACGCGATTGAGGGTGGTGGGATCGAGAGCAGGACTCCTCCAGAAGATCTTAACAACCTTGATGGTTCATAGGGGAGAATCCATTTGGACAGGTAAACTGCGGCAGAGTCGTTTAGGGATTTATAGGTCAACACCAGCACTTTGAATTGTGCTCGGAAGCTAATTGGCAGCCAGTGGAGCTGGCGCAACAGAGGAGTAGTATGCTCCCTGTACCCCGCTCCTGTTAGTAATCTGGCTGTCGCTCGATTATTATTATTATTATTATTATTATTATTATTATTATTATTTTACTGACCCAAAAGCACAGTATGTCACATCAAACGAGATCTATATGCTGGATTTCGTATCACAAAATAATAATAATAATAATAATAATAATAATAATTATTATTATTATTAACCATGGTTTGAAATCCTTGTAATGGAAGGCAAACATATCCTTGATGTGGGAGGCAATTTGCTGGATACAAAGTGGAAGAAAATGGTTACATTTATAGAGAAACTGACAAAACAGAAGCTGGAAACACACTTTTAAAACTAATTTATGTATATGTTGGTAGTCTTAGTGTCACAGGTAGAGATCTATGTTTGTTAAGGAAGTGTTGCCTTAAGTACGTCTCTGTTTATGTACTCTTTTTTGCGTGTTTTTTATTGTTAAAATTAATTTTAAAATATTGGGGGGTGTAGTAGTGGGAGTCAAAGGTAAACTATTACACAAGCCAACAAAATCAAACTTCTTGTAATCATCAAAAATGGGAGTAGCACAGTTTAAATCCATTTTTATGCTCATTTTAAATATATATTTTTTTCATCATTTTAACTTTTAAAAATATGACAATTGTACATTACAGCAGATTACTGTAAAGTCTGCACATTTCACATCATATTCGTATGACAGAAGCCAACAAGTATTTTTCATCAAAAATAATTTTAGGTCATTCTTATAGAGTTTTTTGCACTGAATTCAGATCTCTGTGTTTATTTTTTCTCTCTCTATCACATGTAGTTTTTGCAGTGAGGCTCATCAAATAATTAATGCACTGAGATAAAAAGAATCTAATGAACCGCAAGCCAACAAGTGTTTTTCGTCAGATATGATTTCAGTCCATTCTTATAGAATTTTTTTGCACTGAATTCAGATCTCTGTGTTTATTTTTTTTCTGTATCATGTGCAGTTTTTGCAATGAGACTCATCAAATAATTAATGCATTTACTCATTAATATCAACAGAATATAATGAACCACAAGCCACCAAGTGTTTTTCAGCAGATATGATTTTAGGTCATTCTTATAGAATTTTTTTGCGCAGAATTCAGATATGTGTTTATTTTTTCTCTATCGTGTGTAATTATTACAATGAGGCTAATCAAATAATTAATGCATTTACGCACTGATATCAATAGAATCTAATTAACCACAAGGCAGCAAGTATTTTTCATCAGATACGATTTCAGGACATTCTTAGATAATTTTTTTGCACTGGATTTAGATCTATGTTTATTTTTCTCTATCGTGTGTAGTTTTTGCAATAAGGCTCATCAAATAATTGATGTATTTACTCATTAATATCAACAGAATATAATGAACCACAAATCACCAAGTATTTTTCATCAGATATGATTTCAGGACATTCTTAAAGAATGTTTCGCGCAGAATTCAGATCTGTGTTCATTTTTTTCTCTGTCATGTGTAGTTCTTGCAATGAGGCTATTGAAATAATTAATGCATTTACACACTGATATCAATTAGAGTCTATTGATATCTGTGAGTAAATGCATTAATTATTTGATTAGCATCATTGCAAAAACTACACGTGAATAAAGAAAAAATAAACACAGATCTGAATTCAGCACAAAAAACCCAATAAGAATGACCTAAAATCATATCTGATGAAAAATACACATGAATTAGTTTAAAATAATTAATGCTTTTATGCACTGATATCAATAGAATTTAATGAACCACAAGCCAACAAGTATTTTTCATCAGATATGATTTTAGGTCATTCTTACAGAATGTTTTGTGCAGAATTCAGATCTGTGTTTATTTATTTATTTCTGTCATGTGTAGTTTTGAAACGAGGCTATTGAAATAATTAATGCATTTACGCACGGATATCAATTAGATTCTATTGATATCTGTGAGTAAATGCATTTATTATTTGATTAGCCTCATCGCAAAAACTACATGGGATAGAGAAAGAAATAAAGACAAAACAGTATCAATTCTAATCAGATATGATTTTAGGTCATTCTTATAGAATGTTTTGCGCAGAATTCAGATCTGTGTTTATTTATTTTTTTCTGTCATGTGTAGTTTTTGCAATGAGGCTATTGAAATAATTAATGCATTTACGCACCGATAGCAATTAGATTCTATTGATATCTGTGAGTAAATGCATTAATTATTTGATTAGCCTCATTGCAAAAACTACATGGGATAGAGAAAAAAATAAAGACAGATCTGAATTCAGCGCAAAAGAAAACCCTATTTATTATTTATTTATTTATTTCTGGTACTTTTACCCCGCCCTTCTCAACCCCCGGAGGGGGACTCAGGGCGGCTTACAAAGAAGGCAGAATTCGATGCCTATACATAATAATACATAGTATACAAAAATATAAAAACAATATACAAAATGTAATTAAAACGATCATCACAGTTAAAACATCAACAACCGGTGCATAACACATTATATAAAATATCATAAAGATCATTCTTATAATCAGCGTTTCGTTTCCAGAGTTCCTCATGTCCAGTCCGTTAGTCATTTCCTAGCCATCAATAAAGTTCTTTCTTTATTTGCCCGCCTGCCCAAATGCCTGGTCCCAGATCCATGTTTTTAGTTTTTTCCTAAAAGAAAGGAGCGATGTTGCAGATCTAATTTCCCCGGGGAGTGAATTCCACAGGTGGGGGAGGGAGCGCCACCACGAAAAAAGAGCCCACTTTTATTCCGTACCCCGCCAACCTCAACTGCATGCATAGACGCGCAGGGAGAAATCGAGAGCAGGACCTCCCCAGAAGATCTTAGGCTCCGGGGTGGGACGTAGAGGGAGATCCGTTCGGACAGATACACTGGGCCGGAACCGTATAGGGTTTTATAGGTCAAAACCAGCACCTTGAATTGTGCTCGGAACTGGATCGGCAGTCAGTGGAGCTGACACAACAGGGGGGTGGTATGCTCCCTGTATGACGCTCCGTGAGCAATCTGGCTGCCTCTCGCTGGACTAGTTGGAGTTTCCGAGCAGTCTTCAAAGGCAACCCCACGTAGAGTGCGTTGCAGTAATCTAATGGGATATAACAAGAGCGTGGACCACTGTGGCCAGATCCGACTTCCCAAGGTACGGGCACAGCTGGCGCACAAGTTTTAATTGTGCAAAAGCTCTCCCGGCCACCGCCAAGACCTGGGGTTCCAGGCTCAGCGATGAGTCCAGGATCACTCCCAAACTGAACCAAAATAAAATGGATAAATTTATTCTACTGCACAATCATGTAAAGATTCAATGAGATAGGATTGATGATATCTTGGCAGTCTTTAGGAGGAGCTTGAAGATGTGGTTGTTCCAGTGTGCCTTCCCAGAATTATGATCCCATAGCACTTTGTCCTCCAAAGTACTTCATATTGTTTTAGGTCTGCTTATATGTTTCCACAAACCTCCCCATCACTTTTTTCGCCCATGTCCAGCATTATTTTTTAATTTTGATTACATTTGGTCTACCCATAGATTTTAAAGTGTTGTCCTATTTGATAATGCTTATGTTATTGTTTTACTGTTTTGTTGTTTTAAATTGCTTGTATTGTTGTTATTGCTTGTATTGTTGTATTTTGGGCTCGGCCTCATGTAAGCTGCACCGAGTCCCTTGGGGAGATGGTAGCGGGGTACACATAAATAGCGGGGTATAAATGAAGTATTATTATTATTATTATTATTATTATTATTATAAGGCTAAGTATGTTTGGGCTGCCAGTTGGCAAGATGCTTGCGTCATAGCCTGAGTTAACTTACCTTTCTGTTTCTTTTTTTTTAATAATCTTTATTCACTTTTTTAATACATATAGTTAAAAGGGTTCAATAGAGTTAAAAGTAAGACAGTATAAGCAGAACAGGTCAAAGATTGGAGAGATAGAAGGGGAGAGTAGGGGATAGAATGGCTGGGGTAGGGATGGTGGTTTTTGGGTAGGGAGTGTAGGTGTGGAGGTAGGGAAGAGTCGGAAAGGAGAGTGCAAAAGTGTTGAGACAAAGAGCGAAGTTCCCTTCTTCCTTCGGTTTGTCTTCCTGGTGTCTTTGGCGGGGATTTTCCTTTTCATTCTTTCCTTCTCCATCTTCTCTTTCTCCTTTATGTTTCTGAATTAAGTAGCTTAGTCTGTCCATGTTTTTCCCTTCCATAAGCTTCACTTCCCATTTGTCCACCTTGGGTATCTCTTCCTTTCTCCAGTATCTATCATAACATATTCTCGCTGCTGTTACCGCAAGGAATATAAGTTTGATCTATTTTCTCATCCGTAATTCCCAGTAGGAATATTTCTGGGGACAGTGGTATTTTAGTCTTCAATATGCTTTGTAGTTTTTCCTGAATTCCTTTCCAATATGCTTTGGCTTTTTTACAGTGCCACCACATATGATAATGGGTGCCCTCTGTCTCCCCACATTTCCAGCATTTTGTGTTTAAGTTCCTGTAGAATTTCCCCAATTTCTGGGGTGTTAAGTGCCACCTGTAAAATAGCTTAATCCAGTTTTCTTTTAGGTCATACGCTTTTGTATATTTTAGTTTCTTTGTCCAGATATTTTCCCACTCCGCCAAGCTTATTGATCTCCCCTACATTTTACCATGCAGTCTTTTATTCTTTCCTCCTCTGTACTCCATTCTAACAACTTTTTATATATCAACGATACTGGCTTTTTTCAAGTTCTTATTATTTTATCCCAAATATTCTCCTCTTGCATAAATCCAATTTTTTTAACTTACCTTTCTGTTTCTGTGTTGGCTGTTTTCAGGGAAATGGGAGTGTCCGTGGCACCAGTGCGAGATCTGTGGCCACCCGGCCACTTCGTTCTGCGAGTTCTGCCCTCACGCGTATTGCAAAGAGCATGAAAAGGGAGCCCTGGTGGCCTCGGCCTTGGAGGGCCGCCCGTGCTGCTCCGAACACAACCCGAAGGCTCCCGTGGCGCCAGAATACTGGTGCAAGATCAAGCGCCGGTTGGAACAGCAGAATCCCGAGGAAGAGGCGAAGGAATGAACTGGTTTCCCCAAGGCTCCCTCCAAAAGGAAACGCCCCACTCCCTCGGTGGCTAATCATTGTGAATCGAGATAATAATGTGCCATGGGACCCTCAGACTTGGTGTCTTTAGGACTGCCTCCACATAGAGCAAGCAGGGACCGTATGGCCTGGCGTGGCGGTCAGCAGCCTGTGGCGTCCAAGGTGATCAGATCCGTTATCCCGCAACCATGTCCTTTTGGGCTCTCGGAAAAAGAAGCATCTTGCATTGTTTCGTGGTTAGAAGAAGATACCTTTTTCTGACGTTGGGGTGGGGTGGGGGGGAAGACATGATCACGTTCCAAGTATGTTCTTTCAGTGTAGGAACCAAACATAGCAAAAATATTTATTTATTTAATTTGTCATGGACTTTTTGAGAGTTTCTGGTCCTATTGCAGTCGGTGTGTTGAAAAAGGAATAGCAGCGCCACCAGGTTGTATCTTACCTGTGTATCTATATCCCCCCCCCCCGTTGCCCCCCAATACTCCACCCTCCCTTCAAAACGGTTTAGTTTTGGAACTAAGGACAAAAAAGCTTCTCTGCTCACCGTTTGTGGGAGGTGAATGGAAACTGTATTTTGGCAATTGACGGTGAGATGCTTTCATTCCAGGACAAGAATTTAGAGACAGGAAAATGATGTATGTAACCTTACTGAATGAGGATACTAGTGCCCAAGGCTCTCTCACAGGAAACTAGGCGGGACCCCCTTACCTTGGAAGCGTATTGTATTAGACACTACATTTCCAACAACTTCAAAAAAGCACTCTCTGCAGGGAACGCCTGATGTGCAATGTTTGGATCCCCAACTTTCTCTCAGGAGAGTCTTCTTTCAATAGGCTACTCCACGAATTAGTGCGATACAACCATAAGGCAGTATGAGGTTGTCGCAGGCTTTGCTCAGTGTCCAGTTCATTTATGCATATGTCACTTTTCCGTTGAGTTTGAGGACGATGAAGCAGGCAGGTTTAGAAAACAGGACTTTTCTCGTTTGCTGCCAAACTCTTGACTTCACAGTTCGTGCTTTCAAGCTCTTCTCATTTCTGGGATCTAATTGACGCTTACTCTGAGGATCATGTACAGAGCAGGATTTGTAATTTCCCCATCAATATAGGACCTGATTATGACTTATCTTTACAATTTTAGAGGCAAAGATTGGCCTTAGTTTGTGGCACATGTGTTCATGTTTCAGTAGCCTTGTTTCCCTGCTCCATGTTTCTTTCTGTTTTGTGTTTCAGAAGTCTCTGTGTGTTTTGGGTTTTCATTCTGGGGCTCTGTTACTGATTTATTGTTCACTTTGGTCAAATGGGGTCTCTCCGTTGAATAAGGATAGTCAGCCCTCGAAAAGAATGTTTGCGTATTTCAGAAACTCTTGTTTGTAGCTCTTCCCAACGCAACAACACAGCACTGAAATGATACATCCTCTGACACTTTCTCCCAGTGAGTACTCTTAGTCTTCCCTGAATATTGTATTCCCTTTTTTATTATGATGGCTCGTAGCTATGTTATTAATCTACGCGTTCAGGCATAGATTTGCCAGCGCCAGAAAACAGAGCGCAATCAGGTATCTTCTTAAGTTTCCTTGCTTGGGTTTTCTGGCGAGGCCCTTTCGTTTACCTGTTTTAAATGCTTTGCAATCTAAGGGGAAAAGAAAGCACGCCTGCTTTTTACCCAATTTCTATATATGTTTTAAAATCATGACACTACATTTCTCTGAATCGCCGTCAGAGTCTTTTGCCTTCAGTTCAGGGATGCAGCCGCTCTTGAATATTTCGTAGTTTTGTTGCATTTTCCTGACAATATGTGTTAGCTGGTTGAAGGGCGCTGAGCCCTAAAGGAAGATGCAAAGGACTGGGTATAAAACACTGCATTTTTATGTATATTAAAACCTAGACTTTAGTTTGCTGATTGTATTCTTTGTCAGATTTCCTCTATCACTTTTATTTTAAAACTATTTTGGGTACCAGGTGTTGCCCAGGTTATTTGAAAAAGTCAGTTTATGCAAAATGCATAAGGTTGTGGATTTAACTACAAATGTAATCATGCCAGGTTGACCCTCAGAAACTCCCATCAGTATTTAAAGTTTGTTATGTTGGGCAAGTTTGCTCTAGATGCATCATGGGTGGGGTTCAGTGTGCTCTCTGGCTGCAGGGTGAACTGCAATTCCCACTATGGCGAGTCAGTCCCCTCAAACCCCTCCAGTAGGTTGAGTTTGTCATGGAGGTTCTGTGTAGTCCAGGTCTATCATTGGTGTAGATCACACCTTCTCTGGTTGTGGGTGAACTACAACTCCAAAATGTCCAGGCCAATTCCCCTCAAACCTCACCAGTATTCATATTTGGGAATATCAGGTTTGCATGCTAAGTTTGGTCCAGATCCATCCTTGTTTGGGTTCATAGTGCGCTCTGGATGTAGGTGAACTACAACTCCTCTAAACCCCTCCAAAAACCTCCAGTACATGGGGTACATGGGGTTCGTTGTGTCATATTAGTTCTGGGTCCATCACTGGTGGAGTTCACAGTTTCTCTGGTTGAGTCAGTCCCCTCAAACCCCTCCAACAGGTTGAGTTAGTCATGGAGTTCTCTGTGCCAAGTTTGGTCCAAGGCCATCATTGGTGGAGGTCACAGTTTCTCTGGTGATGAGTGAACTACAACTCCCAGAAAGGAAGGCCAGTTCCCCCAAGCCCCTTCAGTAATCAAATTTGTGCATATTGGGTATGCATGCTAAGTTTGGTCCAGATCCATCTTTGTTTGGGTTCATAGTTTGCTCGGAACGTAGGTGAACTACAACTCCTCTAAATCCCTCCAAATACCTTCGGTATGTTTTGTTGGTCACGGGGGTTCTGTGTGCCAGGTTAGTTCCAGGTCCATCGTTGGTGGAGTTCAGAGTGCTCTTAGATTGCAGGTGAACTATACATCCCAGTACTTACTCTTCTTATAAATCAAGGGGAATTCTCCCCAAACCTCTCTAGTATGTTCAATACCTGTTTGCTGTATGCCATAAAAAAGAATAGGAAAGGGTTAAGGGAGAAGCAGTGGGTGGGATTATGCAAATTGCATACCAGTGGGGAGAGTAAGGAACACTGGGATGCCTGTGGTGGAGGAAACACATAAAATCTAGGGCGAAATTGTCCCAGTTTGAAAACCTTCACTTGGATGGTGGGCAGTGTGGTGTTTGTGGAGGACATTGGCAGGGCTCTTGGACATGTTCATGGCACTCACCATAACCTGCAATGTCATTGGAGGGAGGGCCATTGGTGTCTCCTGATTGGTGGGAGCAATACCTGTTTGTGGAGGCAGGAGCTTGCCTGTGTAAGTGGACACACACACACACACACACACACACACACATATATATATTCACTTTATTTATGTGTATAGATATATAAATGTATTTGTTTTGCCCCAGTCCTTAACATTTCAAAAAAACTCATAAAATTGAGTTTTGCAAATGCTCCACTTAGGGAGGGTCCTTTGCGCCGACGTCATGCACTCCTCTGTCCCTTAATAGATATATGAATGGCCAAACAGTTCCCAAATCCTATGAGAATGTATTTTTAGAGGGCAAATCCTTCCAAAATACCTGACTTTGTTAGGCAGCAAACACCACTTATAACGTTTTGATGGTGTTTTGAAATGTAGCTACTGAATTAACAATGGACAGAACTCGTACACTTGAAAACACCCATTATTATCTTACGATACCCTATGTTATTTTTGTACCTTATAAATCATCTCCCCAGTTTTCCATACCTTCCAGCCACAACCTTTTCATACACCTGTTGCACTTAAGTATAAGGCCCTGAGATTTTATGGGACGGATATTCAGAAGCAACATGATTGCTTACATGCCAGTTGCGTACAGGGAATTTTGGTGGAAAATCTATAGAAATAAAAATGTCATGTTCGTTTGTGGGATTAACATAAGTCAAAAACCACTGGGTGAATTGACCCCAAATTTGGACACAAGACACCTCTCAGGCAAGGGAGTGACCATCACTCATAAAAACATCAAAAAACACAGCAGAAGAGTCTTAAAAAGCCAAAAAAAACCACCCCACAATAATAATAATATTATAATAATAAAACTTTATTTGTACCCCGCTACCATCTCCCAAGGGACTCGGTGCGGCTTACATGAGGCCGAGCCCAAAAACAACAATACAAGCAATAATAACAACAATACAAGCAATTAAAATAAAACATGGACAATAAAATAACGAAACATAACAATAAGACAACACACAATTAAAACTAGGGAAAGGCCAAATGTAGAATTAAAATTGAGAATAATGCTGGAACATGCTGGAAAATACATTACAACACATGTGCAAAACCATATATATATATATATATACACACACACACACATACACATATACACACACAAAACACATATACATTGACTAGGCCACTGCAATGCGTGGCAGGGGACAGCTAGTCACCAATAAATGTGTAGAATCAATTACCCTTCTGTTCACAAAAGACCTAAATTCCCATTAAGGCCAATGGCAACGTAATCCTAGAGTTGGAAGAGACCTGGTGGGCCATCATCCAGTCCAACCCCCTGCCAAGAAGCAGGAAAATCCATTCAAAGCACCCCCAACAGATGGCCATCCAGCCTCTGTTTAAAGCCTCCAAAGAAGGAGCCTCCACCACACTCCCCCTGGGGCAGAGAGTTCCACTGCTGAACAGCTCTCCCAGTGAGGAAGTTCTTCCTCACATTCAGGTGGAATCTCCTTTCCTGTCCTTAGGATAAATGGGCACTCCACTGCCACGTCACTTTACAATATATATGTCTATTTCCTCCACTAAAATGCGCACAGTGGAAGGCAAGGTGGTATAATTAGTAATATCATCGTCATTATAATTATCATGGTAAGATATTGTAGTTTGTTAGGCCAATCATGATTGTTTTTAAAATTGCATTAATAAGCGTTGATTTCAATTGATAGGTGAATGAAAGTATCAGGGAGGGATGTTTTTTTCCTATTTGAAATGCAGAGTTTTAGTAACCAAGGTGACTATATATAAGATATATACACACAGAGAAATCATGGAGGAAAGAGGACCATCAATGGCAGTGTGTGTTATCAAATGTGCCTTGGTCTCCCCCCTCCTTCTCCTAATGCAGCATTTCTCTACCTGGGGGTCGGGACCCCAGTGGGGGTCACGAGGGGGTGTGAGAGGGGTCACCAAAGACCAGCAGAAAACACAGTATTTTCTGTTGGTCATGGGGGTTCTGTGTAGGAAGTTTGGCCCAATTTATCGTTGGTGGGGTTCAGAATGCTCTTTGATTGTAGGTGAACTATAAATCCCAGTAAATAGAACTCCCAAATGTAGAGGTCTATTTTCCCAAAACTCCACCAGTATTCACATTTGGGCACATTGAGTATTCATACCAAGTTTGGTTCAGAACCTTCATTGTTTGAGTCCACAGTGCTCTCTAGATCTAAGTGAACTACAACTCCAAAACTCAAGGTCAATGTCCACCAAAACCTTCCAGAATTTTTTGTTGGTCGTGGGAGTTCTGTGTGCCAAGTTTGGTTCAATTCCATCACTGGTGGAGTTCAGAATGCTCTTTGATTGGAGGTGAACTATCAATCCCAGCAACTACAACTCCCAAATGACAACACCAATCCCCTCCATAACCCCACCAGTATTTAAATATGGGTGTATCGGGTATTTGTGCCCAGTGAATGAAAATCTATCCTGCATATCTGATTTTCACATGATGATTCAGAACAGTAGCAAAATTAGAGTTATGGAGAAGCAACGAAAATACTTGTTATGTTTGGGGTCGCCACAACATGAGGAACTGTTGTCGTGGCATTAGGAAGGTTGAGAAACACTGGCACAGGCTGGAGGACCTTTTAATACAGGCACGAGCAAACTTTGGCCCTCTTGTGTATTGTTTTCAAATTTTCCATTGATTTCCTATACAAATTAAATGGCAGCCTTGTCGTTGGGGATGAGCCAGGAAGGTTGAGAAACACTGGATTAGAGAGTAAGGAAGGCCACCGTTTTGAAACCTTCGATTTGTTTAGGTATCTTGTGATGAATGTTCTTTTGTTGGAAGAGGGATCAAACCGCTTCTGCTACGCATTTCTCCGATTGCAACTTCCTTGTGAAATATTCTCTTTTTCGCACCATGTGAAAACAGTGGAGACTCTGATCCCTACAAATGATTTTTTCCCTAGTTTGAGTCAAGTCTTGGGGAGGGAGCATAAGTCACCTCTTGGGCTTGTTACGTGGACAACCAACCACGTGCATTGTTGCCTTTCCGTTGCCTCTTCATTCGTCATGGTTCGGGCTGTCTTTCGTGTGCTACTTATTGCTCTGGAAGTTTGCACCAAGAGAAAATAGGTTCTGTAACCATAGCGTATGCACCATGGGGTTGTTTTTGCACATCCAAGAGAGGTGCGCACTTCATACATTATGTTTGAGAAGCTCTTCAAAGCCTACTTGGAACTACCTAAAGCATAGGGGGATGTTGTGCTTGGACTCTTCGAACATTTACAGGTGGCTTTGGTGTCATGTAATTATTAGTATGTCATGGGCAACAGCCTTCTAACCTAATAGGTGACTGTATGTATGTATGTGTGTGTATATATTAGGCCTGGGTAACAACGGAAAAATTTGTTTCTAAAATCGATTTGTATTTGGGGGTTTTTTTTGTTTCGATATTTAAAATAATTACAAAATTTTCCTTTTAAAAAGTTCGATATTTACGAAATTTCGTAAATGGTAAAAAATTAACGAATCGATTTCCGAAACAATAACGAATCGATTCGTTAATGGTGGACGCGACCGCGAAATACGCTAAAAAACCTCCAAAACCTTCTGAAGCTTCCCTCTCCCTCTGTTGTTGACTGTTGGTGTGATATTATAATTTTTTTT